AAAGATTTTTCAAGCATAAGTCAAAAAACATTTTTTATTATTCTTTTTAAAGTAAATTATATGACATGATACAAATAATGGTATGTAACGAAAGCCCCTTTTGTCCTGAAAAAAACAATACATAACAAGCAGAGATTAAAGGTGGCGGTGTAGGTTTTCTCCTCTCACCCCACTGCTCCTGCAATCCCAGACATCTCTTTGACACCTTTAACTCACTTCTGCACCCTGCTGCGGCCACCCCTCAAACTAACCTTACAGCTGATAGCTTTGCATGATACTTTACCAACAAGATTGAACAGCTAAGGAAACAACTCTCCCCTCCTTGCCTTTCTCTTTCTCAACTACACATAAATCATGCCTTCCCTACCCTTCAGACTTTCTCCCCAGCTACTGAACAAGAGGTGGCTGCGCTTCTCCATTCCTCTCACCCCACCACTTGCCCGCTCGATCCTGTCCCATCCCACCTCATCAGATCTCTCTCCCCTTGTCTTGTGCCTACCCTAACACACATCTTTAACTGCTCTCTCTCTCTTCTGGCACTGTTCCTGCTGACCTTAAACATGCCACTGTAGTACCTATCCTGAAAAAAACATCTCTTGACCCATCCTTCCCCTCTAACTATCGTCCAATATCCCTGCTCCCTTTCTCATCAAAGCTTTTGGAAAGACTTGTCTTTACCCATGTGTCTCGCTTCCTCAATTCCAACTCTCTCCTTGACCCTCTTCAGTCTGGCTTCTGAGACTGCTCTTTATCAAAGTCACTAATGACCTAATCGCAGCTAAATCCAAAGGTCACTACTCCATATTAATTCTCCTTGACCTCTCTGCTGCCTTTGACACCGTTGATCATGCTTTCCTCCTTCAAACTCTTCAATCGCTCGGTCTCTGTGACTCTGTCTTCTCTTGTTTTTCCTCCTATCTCTCCCAATGCTCATTCAGTGTCTCCTTTCCCAAGCATACCTCCTCCCCTGGTCCTGTCTCAGTTGGAGTTCCCCAAGGCTCTGTCCTTGGTCCCCTTCTATTTTCTTTTTATACTGCCTCTCTCACTGCTTGCCTTTGTTCCATCTCTGACTGGATTTCCTCACGCTTTCTGAAACTCAATCTGTCTAAAACCGAGCTCCTTGTCTTTCCTCCTCCTAATACTGATCCTCCTCTCTTGCTCTCCCTTCAAGTCAGTGATATCCACATAAGTCCAGCCTTGCAAGCACGCTGTCTTGGCGTCATACTTGACTCTGGCCTCACCTCCAGTTTGTTGCCAAATCCTGTAGGTTCCAACTAAAAAACATAGCCCGCATCCGCCCCTTTCTTACACAAGATGCGACCAAAGAGTTTGTCCATGCTCTAGTAATTTCCCGTATGGATTACTGTAACCCTCTCCTGATTGGTCTTCCCAAAAGCCGTATTGCCCCGCTACAGTCTGTAATGAATGCTGCAGCTAGACTGATTTTCCTCTCTAGTCGGTCCTCTCACACATCACCCTTCTGCCAGTCCTTACATTGGCTCCCTGTATCCTATAGGAGTCAATTCAAAGTGCTAACCCATACATTTAAAGCACTGAACAATTCTAGCCCCTCTTATATCGCCTCAATGATCTATAGGTATGCCCCTCCTCGTTCCCTCCGCTCTGCCCGTGACCACCTCCTGACCGCTGCTCGCACCCGTACACCCGTACAGGACCTCTCACGGGTGGCTCCTTTCCTATGGAATAGCCTGCCTACCGCCATCAGACTCTTCCCTAGTCTTCAATCATTTAAGAAGAGCCTTAAAACCCATCTCTTCAGGAAAACATATGGCTTTCCAGAGTAACTTCTACCTTACATACCTGTCTCTTGCTCTCTCCTATATGGCAGCACTCTACCCCCTCCTCCAGCTCTGCTTCACTCCCACCCTATTTGATATTTCCTGTCCTAACGTGTCTTATACCCCACCTCCTATAGACTGTAAGCTTGTTTGAGCAGGGTCCTCTTCAACCTATCGTTCCTGTAAGTTTTCTTGTAATTGTCCTATTTATAGTTAAATCCCCCCTCTCATAATATTGTAAAGTGCTACGGAATCTGTTGGCGCTATATAAATGGCAATAATAATAATAATAACTTGTATGGGAACAGTAAATGAGAGAGAGGAAAATTACAGCTAAACATAAACACCACAAAAGTGTTAAAGGAGCCCTGTTCCTTAACGTACAACATGTCCAAAACAGGCCGGTCCTGATGGGGTTAAATATAAATTTCCAAAGTAAATATTAAATATGGCTTCAGTGTTTACATATTGTAATATGACTTAATTTTTAAGGTTTTAAAAATGATACATTCAGCACTGTGCACTGTAAAAAATAGAATGGCCTCCAAATATCACAAATGCTATCATGTGAGTGATTTTAATTCTAAACTGTTTCTTGGTGTTTATTTTTCACAGAGTGCTCATTAGTCATTGCAAGAAGTTTCAATAACATATACTGTTAACTTGTGTCACTGGTGACGTTCCCCTGAAGGCCTGCCCACCTGATTCCATATATCCTGATTCTGTATCTCCCAATGTTTGGATATAAATGCATATCAGCAGGTCATTTGACCATTTTTTTTATACTATATGAAGGTGAAAATGTTTTAGTTTTGTTTTTATATTACCTTTTTAGACCCTTTGTTAAATATGTCAAGATAAAAGGTCATGTATGCCACTTAAAGCTTTTCCTTCCCCAAATATTTCTGAAACGGATAAGGGAATAAATGAAAAAAGAAAATTGTATAAATGTAGATAATTTTCATCTGTGAGTTTTCACATGTTATCTTTTTTTTTGGCTAGTTCTTTATATATTTCTGTATATATTAAATTGCTATAAAATGTTACAGAAAACCCGCTGCTATATGCAAGCTGTTTTTATAAGGTCAGTTTAACATCATACAAAATGAAATGCCATAATTGCCATTGCTATTATAATTTACAAAAAGTGTTAAATGAACATTTAAAATTAAATAAATGATACTTCAAGATACCAGTCCTTTCCCTTGTTTGAACTACTCCACCACCAAGAACACAGCAGGCTTGACCTACGCGTTTCATACTAGTTAGAGGTTTGATACAATAGAAAAGAAAATGCCAGCGCTATTATAATTTAGAAAAATTGTTAAATGAACGATAAAGGTTAAACAAATTAGGCCAAAGCCCTACAAGATACCAGTCCTTTCCCTTGCTGAACTGCTCAACCACCAAAAACACAGCAGACTTGACCTACACGTTTCACCTTAGTTAGCGGTCTTTCACTTCTTTTATCATTCCTGTCACCTTTCTCTTGAATGTACACTAGTCCCCACAAGATAAATGTTAAATAAGACAAATGCCAACATCATATACTGTCTACAATTCTCACAATTTGCACACTTTAAACGGTTCAAACAAGGGAAAGTTGAAGCGAGGGATAGGATTGGCATCTTGTAGGACTTCAGTACCTATACCTGGTATATGTTTGCTGTGGAACTGGGCATCCAATGGATAGCCCTAACAATAATGGACCCATATGGTAACACAGTAACATACAGTGTTGCAGTTACTGTGAGATCAAAGTTTTCAGTTGTTGACTGTGCACGCTATATTTTGGGACCCACTGCAACATTCAATTCAACTAATTTAATTTGTTTTTGTAGAAAGCTTTTTTTGTAACTTGCATTGCTAGTAATTGCATTGAATAGGACGTTGTCACCTAAATGGAACTTTCGATATTTGAGGCTACCCTTAATGGCAAAACCCAAGTCATAAACCAATGTATCTGTTTCTAGAGCCATGGATAAATCTCATAGGACTCATTCTATTTAATTTGTACATCTCTCTTTGTTTTCTGATTTATTATCGACAGTCTTATGGAAAAGTTTCACATGAAACAGAATTTACAGATTATTCGTTCCATACAAAATGTGCTCCTTAGAAAATGCCATTGCTATTTTTACACTAACTGATAGCAAATACTGACAAAACCCAGAGCTGTCCATTGTGAAGCTGCATTCTTACTGAGCTGTCCAGGACGTGGGAGGGTCTGAGAGGGAGGGTCTGCTGCTGATTGGCTGGAATGTGTCTGCTGACTGTGAGGTACAGGGTCAAAGTTTACTCAATGATGAGTCCGCGGCGAACCGTTCGTGGCGAACCGTGGCGAACAGTTCGGGCATCAGTATTTGAGGATAATGACAAAGAGTTCAAGGTTACCTTTGCCTCTAAATTTCTTAGATTTCCATCTGTTTTAGCATCTGTGGGTTGTGCTGGAATAACAAATCCAATCAATATAGACCCCACCACACAGCTTGCAGGACTTAAAGGATCTGCTTCCAATGTCTTGTTGCCTGATACCAGACAGCATATTTAGAAGTCTTATGGAGTGCCTGCCTTGACGCATCACAGCTTTATTGGCAGCATGAGGGGGAATTACATGATACTACGCAGGTGATTTTAATGTGTGGCTAGTCTGTGTAGTTTGTCTTTTGGAGAGATTCTTTTTACTGATGAACTGTGGGCAAATTAGCTTAGCAACTGAATTAGAACTTTCCTTAAGTTTTGTCCATTGTCAGACTTTTCCAGAGATTTTGCTCCCTATGATAAAAAATAATATTTTTCTTAAAAACAAGGAAAATAAAGTGACAGCAAATTATTAATTTAAAAGTAAAATCTGCAAAGCTGCTTTAATTGGTCTGGTGGGTTGAGACAAGCACCAGGAGTCTTGGCTAGCATCCACTGTAGTCCAGTCAGTATCCTATACTTGATAGCACTGCAGAGTTGCAAGAACAGTTATAAATAGTGCAAAAATGCTGTCCCAGTTCCTCCATTGTCTGTGTGTGAGGAAATGCCAGGAGGAGCAGGGACAGTGCTAGGTATATCATAAAACAGCCTCCAAGTCCAGCCGTGTGTGTGTAAACCGAATACAGGGTGTGTGTGTTGTGGATGCAGTGTGTGTTTGTGTATTGGATGCAGTGTGTCTAAAGTGGATACGTTGTATATTAGTGCATGTGCAGCAGATGAAGTGCATGTGTAGTGGATGCAGTGTGTATACTGTGGATATGAATATATATATATATATATATATATATATATATATATATATATATATATATTCATATCCACAGTATACACACTGCATCCACTACAGATGAAGGACGGGATATCAGCATTCCAGGGTTTTCCAAAGTTTCTTTTATTGAAAGTGTGTCAACATAGGTTGACATTTCAATTCAACATCTGAACTTTCCTTAGGACACCTGAGCCAGCACCGAGGGACAATATACTGTCTTCTGAATTAAATAGACAGAGCAGACACTTGCCACTCACACCCCTCAGTTAGAATGTTAAAGTCATAAATTACTTTGTTAAATATCTTGCGTTGCATTTCTGTTGAGGTCATTAGTAGCACAAAAGTATAACAGCACAGAATGCTCAGTCACACATTCCTCAGGACACATTAAAGCTTTACTGCCTAAACTATAAAAGGACATAACAGATTAATGAGTTCAGGTGGATTAGCAGATCCTCTTTAAGTGAAGTCACACTTCAACTGAATGAGAAAAGCACCAGTTTGCTTCACTGTTCCTTGAACATACATATAAAATGATTTCAGGCTTTTGGGAACAGAGTAAGCTTGGTCAATCAGTCAGCACTGTTGCCAGACAGACATGACCTCTCAGGGGAAGCAATAGCCCTGATGCTCCATCCTTGGATCTGACACAGCTGATCTTAGAGACTACATGGAGGGCTTGAATCACTATTATAAATGGATTTGTTAATGTTTTTGTTTTTCAGCTCTCAAATTCAGGAAAAGGAAGAAGAGTTAAAAAGCAAAATTAAACACATTGTGAAATGTGACATTGAAAAAGAAAATATTACAGATTCTGTGATTCTGCCAAAATCTGACTGTCTGTTGAGTGTAACAGTATTGGAAGCGATTAGTGAAGACCAGGAAGAGTTTCGCAAAAACCTAAAGAAAATTGTATCTTTGCTCAAACCCGGTGGACAGCTTTTGTTATTTACAGCATTAGATGCAACTTTCTACCAATTAGGGGAACATTCGTTCAAATTATTAAAATGTGATGAGACATTTGTCAGAAGTGTTCTATGTGAACAAGGTTTTCTTATTGAGTATATTGACTGGTTTAAAAAACCCTCCGAAACACATCTTACAGATTTTAATGATGTCACTTTCATCATAGCACGCAAACCCATGGAAGTATAATCAGATTATTATGCATCTAAAAATGATGTACTATAAGTTTTAATTTTCTACATATAAAATCGTTTAGAGATATTGTGCTAGGCACCCTTTAATGAGCTACCCAATGCCCACATTCCTGGTAAGGGTCATACTCCTTAGGCATTTTAAGGCAAAATAGTGAAGAGAAAATATCTCTTCATGAGGTGAAAGTGAAATTTTTTTTTCAAATGGACTATTTTGGTCTAACAGTCTAACAAATATCACCTTTTAATGAATAATGCCTTGAAATTACAGAACTGTGGTTATTAAAATGAATGTGTGAACTGTTAGAAAATATCTACAGTCTATTTCCAGATAGCTTTAATTGGTGACTCTATACTAAAATACTAAAATCAACTGAAAAAAGTCAGTTCAAAAAGTTCTCAATCTAGAGGGAACTCTGATCTGAATCAACATGTACATTTTAAGGGTATTCTAAGCATTGTAAATTGTCTCTATTAATAAACCATTTTAGAAACCAATGCTGTAATCTGTGTTTTACTACATATTTTATGTTGAAAATTGTTCAGAGAAAACTAATGTAATTCAGGTATGGTGAATTTGCCATGGACTTGCAGTGGCAATTAACTTTTAATGTTTGCCAGTAACATAGGACTCAAAGTTTTACGTCTTTCAAGAGGGTATTGACAAAATAAATATTTTTTTCTGAATATGTAGCATTGACATTTCCCAACATATATACACGTACATACATAAATACATATATCCATGGCAGCACAACAATGGGTAGCTCCTCCCTATCACTAATTAGATAGGAATCAAAATAAAGGAATTGGTATAAAGTCTTTTTGTTTCTGTTCTATACCTATAGGACAAACGTGGTCATTTTCTGACTCTTTAAAATTTTTCTTTTTGGCTTACCTGAGGGTTATTACCCTCCATCCAAGGGAGTTCAGCCTCTCTACCTAGGGGAATTTCAGTATACAGCCCTGTACAATGGTGACCCCCTGAAGGATCTCCTTTAGTGATCAAGGGATAGCTTGCAGTGACCATAGGTGTATTGAACATTATATGCATTTATTTCTCCCTTCTGCAATGACCAAAGGGGTATCAGCTTGTGGCATTCCATACACCCCCCTCCTTCCAATTATGGCATAATTTGTCCAATTTTGCATTTCTTTGTTATTATATTTTTCACCTTTTAATATTTTATCTGGTTGAATTTGCTAGATTTTGTCTTTACAAACATATCCTACTGCTGGCAATTTTTTGCCAAATTATTTTGCATTTATTTGTTTTTCTTTTACTACTTTTTAGTAGTATTAATATTTCCCTGGCAGTCTTGAGTTGTCTGGGGTTGGGTTCACAGAATTATCTGCATTTTTTTTGGGCGTCCCCCGACTGTCCCTGGGCTTTATGAGCTGCCATGTTGCTGTTGTCCATGCCGTGCAACTGTGTGCTCATTAAACCAGTTCTTCTTGACCCTCAACTCACAGTCTTGACTCGTGCTTGGAGGGGACAGCTATAATCACTACAGGGATTGCTATGCTCTTCATACTCCCTTAGCTTCACTGAGCTCTTGTAAGAGCTGTTCCTGCTTCCCTCTCTGGAAGGAAGAGAGGTTCACCCACTGGAACCTCGAGCCTTGTCGTAGGTCCAGGGTGGGTAGGAGATGGTGAGACCCCAACCAAGCTGGGGCGGTTCGTGGGGTCTGCAGTTCTTATGGTGTCTGGTGCGGTGCTGATGGTTCTTGGTGAGCGCTAGGAGCATCCTTTCTATGATCCTACCCTCAGCTAGCCTGGGGCAACTGTAACAGTTGTATTGTGATGAACCAAATAAAGTGTACAAAAGAAAATCATATTCACAACGATTTTGATGTTTTATTGTAAATGTGGTGTAATATTGATTACATTGACGATAAATGTTCATAATATATGTAAGTTACAACAATAATGGATGCACTTTGGTACGACTCTATTCCCTGCACATTTCTGAAATATGCATAAAATCTATCAAACCCAAAGGATGGTCGTATTTCACAAACCAGACGTGATACAACAAAAGTGAATACATATTTGGAATCAGCATGACAATTGATCTAGAAAAATGTTTTTGTTTATGATGAGAGAAAAAAGTTTTATTTTGCTGGCCTGTGTTATTTCTGTTGACTTGGTCTGTTTTAACGGTGTAGTGCACATAAAGGCATTTTCCCTTTTTTCTCTTTCTTTTATTTTAGACCATTTTAACTTTTTATTATCAGGAGTGCAGATATGTATTAGAGTCATCTGCTTAAAACAAATAGTTACACTATAAGAGCTATAGATACGCCACACTATTTTTTTATTGACCTAATTTGAACAAAAGATAGCTTGGACTGAATTTTTCCCTATTATGATAGCGCTATGGGAGAGAATCGTCCACTTCATCTAAAGGGAATCATCCAAGAATATACTATGGGAAGGATCTAATGGCTGATGTGATGAGGGAGCCTTGGAGGGAAAGCTTCTCTGCACAGTCTTTTTGAGGACAGCATCAAGTCCCTTTACCCATGCTCCAGATTTGATGTGGTATTTTTAGCAGATTTTTTTTAGTGCATCGAGGAGGTTGGAAAGTTTTCAGAAGACAAATATATCCTGTTCCACTTGTGTGTCCTCAAGATGAAGCATTATACAGATCTATGGGGAGCTGCTATCATGGTATTGGTTTGTTCTTCAGAAGTGAATGTTTAGTCTACTCCTAACTTTGGATCCTGTTTGTGTGGATCATTTTATCTCCGCTTCAGATCAGCATTCTAGATTTTATATGGAAATCTTCAGAAAAGGATCCTTCAATTTCAAGCAGTTACTTTTCTGATCTTCCTTTTGGGATATTCAAAGAAGAAAAGTAGTCTCCCAGTACATAATACTATTAAAGATCTTATTCCAGATGGATGGTCTAAGACTGAGAAAGCTCTCAGAACAAGGGAGAATTTTAAGTTTTCATCATCTAAGACGTATGTTTCTTTTTGGACTCTTACTCTAATTGCGCCTTGCAGTGGTAAGGCTACCCAACACAACTTTTCTTGTGGAGTTCGCAAGTTCTCTGTGAGGCTCTATGGTGCAGAGCCTTTTGTTAAAGATGATATGACAGCTGGCGCAGACTTTCATCTTGCAGGGGGAACAACATTTTATTTTTGAGATATTCATCATGGATAAAGTTGTAGCAAGATACCAGAAATAAAAGAAGCAGAAAAGTCCACAGGATTATGCTTGCAACGGTCTCATGGATGTATGCATCATCAGTGGATTTATGCTAATTACATGACCCTTTCTGTCTCTACTTCAAGGTTTATTTGACTTAGATCTTGGTCAGCAGATGCCTCTTCAAAGATCAGTCTATGTCCTCTTCCCTTTCAAGTGATATGTATTTTGCAAATATTGATCTATGCATTAATGTGCAACAGAAGGTAATACAGCCTTTTTGCCCAAGATCATAGTTTCAGAAGAGTGTTTCAAGCTAAATATCTTCCCAACACACCTATTGAGACAGATATTATAACAACAGATATTATAATCATATGAGAGAATTGAAAGACATATAGTCTTCTACCAGAGAAGGACAATCCAGAGGTATCTCAAATTGAGAATAATTTCTCAAGCATTATTATTTTATCCCATTTAGGAGACAGTGTTAACCTCAAAGTTCAAAGGGCAAGTATTGTTCAGATTCATTCCCATTTGTTTTGTATTAAGAAAACGTCAAGAGGCAATGAAGGATGTAGGATTTCCTTATTTGATTTTCACAGGACCTTACAGATATTACAGTATGCACAATTCCTAGATGGAATCTTTACAATGCGATTGGAAGTGGCCTTTACAGGTCAATGGAGGATGTTAATACAGAAAAAGGGGAATAAGTGTAACGATAATACCCAACACGCAGAGTGAAAACCAGCAATTAAAATAGAGACAG